TGTCTGAAATTGTAATTAAATCTTCTTTACTGTATTTTTCCAAAACAATCATTACTTCAAAATTACTGAGAAGGCAATTCTACCCGATCAAACAACATTCATATGTAATACCAACATTAAGGCTCAATATCCAGTAAACAAAGCCCAGGTTACATTAGGAAACACAGTCGAATTTCTTTAAAACAATCAATAGTACCAACAAATCAGAAGATCTTATTTCAAGTTGATGAGCAAAATCTGACACTTAGCAGCATTACAGGATGCTTATGTTAGAAAATATAGTCTTAGCAAATCCATGAACAGACTAACAAATTACACAAACGAGGAGGCGCCAACCTTTTTTTTACTGGACTGAATATTGATTATTGTCATTGTATTGAAGATGAAGTTGTTTCATTGTTATTAAAAGTGATTTTGTTGTTTCTATGTGAAAAATGATCAACATTCAACATCAAAACGGACGGCTACAAACAAGTCAAAATTAATAAGTTAGCTTGTAATCAGTTATGTAAGAAAAAAGCAGTATTAGCCATTTAAAGCTAATGTTTTCATAAGGTTGGTCATTGTACTGCACTGTTTTTACAACTAACTTATTAGTTTTGAGTTAAAAGTGTTGTTGATCCCAAAATAAGGTGCTAATGAGCTATTTTTGCTAACTGATGAGCTTGATTTTTTTTTTTAATTTAACAAAAGATTAAAAAAAAATAAGGAAACTTGACAAAATATTAACAGCAGTTCTAATCCCAGTCCCATTTCAATACAGCCTAAAGACAGAAATGTCTAGTAAGACGAAATGTAACGGGCACTTATGAATTTAAATGCACATGGTGTAACACAATCAAATGGCAAGATGAAAATAACTAATTAGATAAATAAATAATAAGCAATAAATAGAAGTAGTAAAATATATAACTTAGAGAATCTCTGACCAACTGTGAACATGATGAGTTTCTCAATTCCTGTTTCAGTAAAGACTAAATGTGTAAGTAATTGATGTGATGCCACTTAAACTACCACAATCAACAAAGAAGTTTGCAGTATATTAATAGTGCATGTTAAATCTCCCCAACTCATCGCGGATGGAAATAACATAAATTTTTCTCTTACCTATTCAACAGTTTATGTAAATGCTTTGTAGTGTCTTTATTACTGGCATATAGCACTTTTCCAAATGTAAATGGCTAATGCTTGAGACTTTAACATTACTTTAACTATACTTTACTGATGTTAATGTAAATTGTCTTTTAGGTTAGACTTGTAAAATGGGAGCTCGCAGTAGATGTCTGATATGTTTGGTGTCAACAGTTACATAACAACAGAGGCATGCTTCTAGAACACTGAGGTATTCTCTTTTTTGACAGAATATGTGGAATTTTACAAGCGGGCAACAGCAGTTTTTCAGAATTCTTAAAGCATTCTTGTATCCTTATCAATAAGGAAGAATGAATAGAGACATTCTAGAATTCCTTCCCCCAAAATATCCTGCTGATATTTTGTTGCCATGGTGACAAGCATAGAGAAATATGTAAAAATAGGGCATTTCAACTGCAGGACATAGCGAGGAGTTCTGGGGAGCACACCAAATGTAAACGCAACAGCCATCCTGGTGCCCTCCATTGTTGTCACTGTTGTTGTTGTTTTGATTTCATGGGACATCAGTTCTGTTAACTTATGCGTTGTGAATTGGTATCACAGACCTTGACATTGTAAAACTGGTTTGTTCACATCATAAAATCAACTGATCCTACAATGCAATGGAAACAAAATGGCTCAAAGGGCTCATGAGGGCGCCAGACCTGTAAATGTTCCTGCAAAAGACGGCTGCTGTTACTGAGTCCAAATATGTTGATTACAGCTTATGCAATATTATTAAACGTATCTTCACAAATATATAGGATAAATTTTTCACTTTTTTCTCATTGCAACAGATTTATCAGGAAAAAATATCTGAACACTCAAACCAAGCATAGACACACAATGCTTTTTGTCAAATCAAGTCAATCAGTCATTAATTCAGACAGTCAGAATTAGAGTCAAGCAATCATTTCTAATAATGAATCTATTACCTAAGATTTGTAAAGAATACTGTTATATGGGATCAAAATAACATTCCATGTTCAAACAATCCTAATGTACAAACAATGCACTTTGGACTAAAAGTGGTCTATGTCTTATAAATTTGGAATTTTTTTGTCATATTTAGAAATAAAATCTTGTATGCTTCAGCACAATTGCTGTCCTCTCCAGCTGCGCTACCTTTAAGTTAAGTGCTTTGCTCAAGGGATGTTAAAGTGTGGCACCAAATCCACAGTGGAGGTCTCTAATTATGTAATGAAATTGGAAGACATAGGTCTCTTTTAGCTCATAATCAATTATTTTGTGTATTACATACAGCACAAGAAGGCAGAACATTAGAAAACTTTCAGTCTTTCATTTCATTCTCTCCACATTATTATTATGTCCCTTTGTGTCCATATTAATGCCTTTGCTCCTTTTTATGTCTCATTGACCACATCATAAATTTAGTAAGCAGTTGTTTCTGAAGAAATCATTGTCATCTCTCTTGCAGCCTTTGTTTGGTTTTGGTTTTTTGATTTTATTATCTAAAGCTTTCCTCATTAGTCCGTTTCTAGACACTGGACCTCTCAAATTTGACATCTCTGAACCAGTATTGCATAACTTTTATCTACATCCCATTCTGCAATGTCTGTATGACAGCTGGAAATTATTGAGATTTTCACGTGAGCCGATCTTAAGCCGTCTTGAGACTCATCTGCTATCAATGTTTTGTTTTCATTTTATTTTTTTATGATCTTACCTAATAATAATCACCAAAAATATTCAAATTAGGTACTTCCGTCATGAGTTCTGGTTGGAACGCAGAATGGGAACTGGACACTTTTTCACTGACTTTTTCATCCCTTCTATCCCATTTTCAACATTCACAGGGAGCAGTTAGAGGCTCATGCAGTAATTCATATTATTTGACAGTGCTCACTCTATCGCTTCATTTAAACCTCAACTTGTCTATCGCGTTCACGTCACCATCCCCCATCATCATCCAAGCCTCCATCATTGTAGGTAGCGGTAGACTTTAAAGCAATGATTGCCAGAGTCAGCCACTACAACGTGTCCGTCTGAAGTCAGAGCCAGACCTTGGGGTCCGTAAAGAGGGTCTGCTGATGTGTTGATATAGGACAGGAAGGAGCCACTGCCATCAAACACCTGGAAATGTCGAAGATATGTATTATTTATATATAAAAACCTTACACAGTAGGGCTTTCATATATAAAAGGTTCATATTTTAACGTTTTACCTGTATTCTGCTATTGCCCCAGTCAGCTACAATGATGTTCCCATTAATATCCACCGCTACACCAGTGGGAGCATTGAACTGGCCGTTTCCTTCCCCATTTGAACCAAATTTCAGTACAAGCTCTCCTTCAAGCGTGAAAACCTAATCAGAGAAATAATGATAAAGATATATTATTTTGAATCCTCTGAAACCATACTTGGACTTGACATGAAATATTAGCTTGTTTTATCATAACATTACACTAAAACTATCCTTTAAGCTCAGTAAACTGCTGTACCTTAACAGAGTGGTTATGGAAGTCTGTCACAATGATTTCATTGTTTTTGTTCACTGCTGCAAAGTGTGGACCTTTAGGAAAGAAAAACAGGAACAAAGAAATAGGTTGCACATTGTACAACGAACAATGTATTTTCAATTAGCTTTAGCCTCTTTTAACACTTTCAATTTGCAAGTATTTTAGAGAAAGGTAACACTGGTATTTGTATATCTGAATAGTTTTTGAAGTCTCTTAGAATGAAAAGAAAAAGGGGAAAAAGAAATGAAAAAACAAAATGTACAATATTTTACAGTTAAAGGTGATTTAAATGTCATAGGGTTAAACTTTAAACAGAATTTCAAATGCACTCAGTTCTTAAATCAATTTTCAGACTTAGCAAGTTAATTATTCAACTGCCAACCATCACCTAAGTACTTTTATTAGCGCACGTAAACCTTCGTCAGTGATAACTACAACCCTAGCCTCAAAGCCTGGGACAAACAAGAAATGCAAGTTAAAATGTTGTTTGTTCCCTTATTGCCAAAAGTTGTGGGGTAAATGTTTTAACCCTCTCAGATCTAAACCATCAGTGGTGATTGTCCCAATCCTTAACTTTTAGGACG